CATCTGATCTGTGACTTTCAATGTCACAATGTTTCAACGACTTTCATTTGGTGCCACAAAGGTTGATTGTCTGAATTAACCTACAATTATTTTTCATATTATTTTATTTTTCAAACCAGTGTTCACAGAATTTGCCCCAACTGTCAAACTTGGTGCTCTGCACTTTGATGTTAATAAAAACATTATATACTACATCTGAACACACCTACAATTTTTTACAATGCATTCTCAATCAGTAGAGCAAAGTGCTATAATGCTGAAATAATGGGTTTGATTCCCAGGGAATGGATGACTCAATAAAATGTGTACTTTAAATGCAATGTATGCTGCTTTGGATAAAAGCATCTGGCAAATGCATGAATGTAAATGTAATATAAAACAAAATGTATTTTTGGTTACCTAATTCTGCTCTTCTGTAAAATGGACAGCTGGCTATATGATGATTCTGCCCCTCATAGTCAGCATCCGTGTTTTTGCTTGGAGAAATCTCCTGTAACAGACAGAGTCACAACAGCATTTTAGTGTTATTATAGTTTATGATCAGAAGAAAAAACTACCATACAATAATAGAATTTACATTTTTTAATAAAATAAACATTTATAATATTTGTTAGCAAAACTTGCTATATCAATATATTGCTATCCCGTGCCTTCTCTTTAAAACGTCAACCCGTTGTGAGTTAGTGGAGAACATTAACTTACCAGTCAATGTTATAATCGATACTATGGCATTCACAAGAAGAGATTCCAAAATACACCTTCGACGTTGCAGATGACATCCAGACTACAAACTTGAAAATAAACAAACGAAGTACTTGAAAATACTGTTTAAAATCTCCACTTAAACAATGGTGTTGCCTAACTCGCTTTACCTCAGTATTTCACGTTAGTTCGTTGTTATACCTAAGTAACGACTCGCCAGATTAGCTAACTTGAAATAAAGGGCAGCGAAACGTACAAACGTTATGTTTCTTGGTTTAACTAAAGTTTATTTCGGCTATTTCGACATTAACTTACTCATCAGTCGATGTTATCACCGTTATGACAGCAATCCGGCCATCAATCAGAAAAAAAGGCTCCAACTCCCGACATGAAAAATGAGAAGATGAATAATGTTTGCTTTTAACAAGTGAAAACATCTTAAAATATCTCTGTTTTGCATAAAATATAAATAATATACTAACCTTTTTGTTGAGTTAACAGTCCATAATTTCTCTTTTGCCCTTTTACCGCCATTTCCACCAAACAGTAAAAAAAGAAAAGAAAAAAGAAAAAAACACCTTAAAATAAATCTGCCTTGCCATTGGTCAGTTTTTTGCGGGCAAGTTCACTACTGTAAATGCATTTACAGTAGTGAAGAAATACAGTAGTGACTGTATATTTCCCCATAACCCTTTGCTGTTTACAGTAAAATACGGTATACATATTTTACAGTATCTTACTGTGCATATTACAGTAAAATACTGTTCAAATGACAAAAATCGGTTGAAGTGTACCTCTGATTAGCAATAGTAAATCAAATTCAAAGAAAGGACAAACATTTTGATGTGTTCTAACAATAACTACATCAACACAGCGAACAAAACTTGTGTTGCTAGCATTATGCTAAACTGTACTAGTCTCCCTTTGTCATACAGATGCACTGTATTTGTAGTTGGTCTAAAACAAGATACAAGAAATAAGACAAATAATTTAATTCACATGGACAGACTGAGGGTGTATTCACACCAGGAAAGTCCGCTAGTTCACTTGCTTTGGTCCGGACCAAATACAATGTTCGCTTTCACACTGCCCTTTTTGCAAGTGAACCAGAAATTGTAAACAAAACTACACGTGTGCTAAGGTCATCCATTTATTGGACAGAAATTCTCAAGCAGGGAAAACAGGAAGTGCAAAAACAAGCTATTCATGGAAATCTTTCGTAGTGCAATTTTTATTCTTTTACTGATTTGGTGTTATCAGATACTAACACAATATGAAGAAACTTCTGAGCATCATATGAGACAATGTCATACGATGTTGTAATTACAACTTGCCGAAAATAAAATCTATAGATATAAAATACTTAAAGCATATCACAATGTTAGTTTAAACATTTAACCTAGATAAATGTGCGATATATCCTATCATTTGTGTGGAGAGTGGAAGCTGAAGCGCACTTCAGGATATCAGTGGAAACAAATTAAATACGCCGTCATTTTTGCTCATAAAAGTAAGAATAATACATCGTTCGGAACTGTAAAGGGTCTATTTTATTTGTGTGCTTTTTTTAAAATAAAGAAAACAAACAGGATGCGCTTGCCGCCTCGGTCTTGAGCAGGAGCACTTCACAAAAATGAACCAAAAATCAGCAAATATTTTCCTTACAGACATGATGAATATATCTATAGAAAGCTTTAAATGACTACAAAATGAAATTATTCAAATCCAAAACAAAAACTCTTCCATTATGTAATCCAAGATGCATTTCTTTCTAAAGTCGCGTCCAATGATGAGATGGCGAGTCAGGATCATCAATTTCATCTTTGCGACACTGACTCAGAAAACACTAGTTTATTAATAAATAATTCAAATATATCCTTACTATTTCCCCCCAACATATACATGGTAAATTTGCGGCAAGCTTTAGCCTATTTTGCGCGCTCCCGTCACGTTGGTGTGCGCCATGGTCATGAAAACTCATCATTTGCATGCATTTTTAAGCATTGTGGTTTAAAAACAAGTGATTGAAACTCAAAAAAACAGCACTACATGTGCAAGCTGTCTGTTTCTGAGCGTTATTTCTGCAATTGGGTCGGATCGAGGTCGGGTCATATTCACACCTTAAACGAACCGTACCAGAGTTCGATTGGAATCGGACCAGAGACCACCTCTTCAGCTGGGTCTCGGTACGGTTGTTTGGTCCGCACCCAAGTGCGATTGCTGTATTCACTCCTGCCCAAAAGATCGAACTTGAGTTCGATTCAATCGAACCAAACAAGACAGGTGTGAATACACCCTGAGAGGGAAAGGGAGGATAGGTTATGTGTGCGTGTGTTGTTAGGGGTATCTTCCTTCTCTATCTTAACGGAGAGCTGATTGTTCGGAAGTGAACCTCCTCTGAAACTCCCCTCATTAACCTGCCAGGTGTTGGAAGACACCAAGCTCTGATTGAACTGCAGCCAGGACGGCTGCTTTGAAGACCACAAGGGAATTGGAGAGGAAGGAAAGAGAGAGAGAGTGAGAGAGAAGCATAAAGCATCTGAAATGCTGCATGTACTCTGTTGCAACCTTTTTATGTAAACCAACAAATCTTGCATTGATCATACAGAACAACCCTGGTTCATAACGTATGAAATGGAGTATGTCCCAAAAGAGCTGGTATTTCTAATGCTGCAGGAATTTAAATGTCTTTCAGTCCTTTCAATAGTCTGTTGCGGAGCTGTTCAAACAAGACACAACAGCACGCTAGCTCTCTCTCTCGAGTGCAGCCGGAGATTGATTCGAGCGGATTTCTAATGGATGTGGAAGGCCACACTTGTTTTGAATCCAAGACCCTTGGCTCGCTCATACTTTTCCTATTATAGTGACCTCGCAACTGGCATTGTATACGCAGCGTGGAGCTGTTGTTGATCGTGCGACCATGTTTTCAAGAAACAGAGTGATTCTGGGAAGGTGTGTCATCCTTCACCACGGCCGTTCCAAACATAAACAGATAACAGAAGTGAGGTCTAGGTGCTGACTGGACAAATGCCCGGACCTGACACTTCACTTTTTGTTTGTGTTTGCGAGCAGCCATATTAGTGATTCATACGTGTGTACAATAGAAGTAAGAGGCTGTTGACGATATCACATTTACACACGTCCTCCTTGTTTAGACACATCCTACCTCGCTGGGAACATTTTTGCGGAGTGTCCTCACGCATTTCCTGTCTCTCTCCTCCTTTACAGGCATTTTGTCCTTCGAGTCGACGGCTTTCTCTTTCTCTGTCCCTCTCTCTCAAATCTGCCCTTTCTCCCTATACACTTCCTGTGTTCCCCTTCTCTTTTGATATTTTCATGTTTTCTCTGTTCCCATTCCTTCAAATTTTAGTCATAGTCACCACTGTTATTATTTTTGCAGTCCAGTCGAAAGCTGGTTTCCATCAAGCCCAATCAGTGCCTTCAAAGCTGTTCTGCACATTTCAGGAGTAACAAAGTCAGAACACATTTTCTCACTGCCCTGTTTGGCTAATGGGGCTCGCACTGTTTGCACGTCACTGACTTCACTCAATCCATATTTGAAAGAATGGAGAAACACCCCAGATCACGCAGCTTTAATCTAAGCATGTGACCATGTGACCGCGAGAACCCTCATTAACGTGCATATGCTTATCAACATCAGCTTTGTGTATTAACTTGATACATACTGAAATGCTAACTTTTTTCCCCACTTTAAGTTGTTGTATGGCCAGAAACGGTTATTGGGTTTGCAATTACACGGTTGCAAGCTCACAGGCACATAGAGACACTCACTTTGTTTATTTTCTACAAAAACATGCGATTCTTTCATGTGCCTCACTCCGAAGTTCACATGTGCAGAGCAGCTGTGGATGTGTTTGTTTGCGAAAGCTCTACATTAACCTTCCTTCCACCTCTCTTTGACCTAATTGAAAACGATTCAGTGCAATTGTTTGATGAATCCTGATAACTTTCGATTGATCTACAGTATGGCGCTGGCAGTTCGGCAGAAAACACGCCACTAATGTGTCTGGGCTGTCAGTGTTTATTTGAAAATATTGCTGGCCTTTTACACTTTGTTGCCATAGTAAGGGATACATATGGAGGATATTCATCAGTTTAAAAATCAGATCAGTTTTTGCCTTCAGGTGATATTAAGAATTCCAATAAAATCCAAAATGTGGATTAATTAACAGATGCACTGCAAATGGGGGGTAATGTGTCTTCATTAGTATATGCATACAATCAAATATCTTGCTTTATTAAAAGTTGAAACTCTTTTTATTTGTGTGTGTTTACAGGATGCTGGAATACTCTCTCAACCTGCAGAATGTTAGTTTCTCTGCGGTTCGAACAGTCAGAGTACTTCGACCTCTCCGGGCTATCAACCGAGTACCCAGTGAGTACAATATCAGCAACCAAATGTACTTTTCCAAATGCGCTTGCTAACATTAGTTAACTATAGGGATGCACCGATACCACTTTTTCCAGTACTCGCCCGACTTCGTAGACATCCTTAATCTCTTATAACTCCATTCTGCTGTCTGTTGTTCTGTTGTCGGTGTTTCTTTGTCTGAATATGGCACTTATCACATGCTGTGTGGTATCGGCGTTTGGTATCGGGGCATTTTAACGAGTACGAGTACAGAAGCTCAGTATCGGGCCGATACCGATACCAGTATCGGTATCTGTGCATCCCTAGTTAACTACAATAGTTTACATTAAATAATGAAAAATGTATTAGTCTTTTAATTTCACCATTTAATAATACATTAGGTAAACCAAAAGTTTTAATTGTTAATATTATTTAATGGGCCTGACTTAACATGAACTAACAAAGAACAGTTTTTTTTTTTTAGATAAGTAACTTTAAAGCTGCAGTTCGTAACTTTTTTTTGTTAAAAATGATCCGAAATCAATATTTGAGCTAGTACATAACCAGCCAGTGTTCGAAACTATCGCCTTACTTTAGCCCGATTCACAACGGTCAGCTTATAATAATGTTTTCTAATTTGAGTGGTACGGGTAGGTTTTCGCGGGAAATTCGAGCATGCCACTGCGTCCTTACGTCACTTCTGTAAACGTAAAGAAGTTGTCCCGGCTACTAGGCTATCACATGTGAGGATCCTGCAGGTGGCAGATCGTTTATAGACTTTTCTCACACCAGCCAGAATAATTAAATGTATCATTTTGACGGCGGATTGTAATCCAGAAAGGATTATGTGTTTATGTTTACATTAACACATGTGAATGAAATTAAATTATATTCCAGTTATAAATGTGCTTCTGATTACAGATAGCCTGGGATTACACAAGATTTGTATTTTAAAGAAAACCAGTTCAAAGGGAGCATAATTTGCTTTTTGGGTTAAAAGAATCTCTTAATATGGAATTCGAAGAGTATGACAATTAGATTAGACTGTGCAGAAATTGAAATCTACACGCTAATACACACTATACTCATAGTCACCAATGCTGATGTTGTTAACATTAATCATTTGAGAATAAAGTATAACAATAATAATAAT